CAAGTCATGGCCGGCGGCACGTGCGCGGCCCAGGGGGGGGGGGCAGTCACGCAGTGAGACAGGAAGAGGCACCATGAAATCGGGGGGGATATCATGGCCCCCGCCATGATATCCACCCCCTAATCCCACCAGCCCTTTGGGCGTGAGTGGTTTAGGGAGCTCTCTCTGTTCTTAACCCCCCATCTTCCCCTTCGGGGAGGGGTTTACCCCTCCCCCTACCCCCTCCCCCTGGACCTGGACAGGGAGTCCGGGGTGGTGTCAGGGGGGTCTTTTTCGACTCCTGGGAGGGCCAAAAAACGACGACCCTCAAGAGGATTCTGGCCCCGACGGGGGGGCCGAGTTTGGCCCCTCTTCTCTTCTTTGAACCAAAAATCATCGATTTTACTACGGTTTTGGCCCCATTTGGGCATCCTGAGGGGGCCGCGCTCATCTGCCTTCATAGCAAAATCATTGATTTTACAAAGGTTTTGGCTTCATTTTGTCCTTCTCAGGGGGCAGCGCTCCTTTGCGCTTCAGACGAGGTCGCAAGAGGCCCCAAGATGGCCCCAAGAGGCCCCTAGGAGGCTCCCAAGAGGCCTCCAAGAGGCCCCCCAAGAGGCCCCCAAGAGGTCCCCAAGAGGCCCCCAAGAGGTCCCCAAGAGGCCCCCAAGAGGCCCCCAAGAGGCCCCCCCCAAGAGGCCCCCAAGAGGCCCCCAAGAGGCCCCCAAGAGGCCCCAAGAGGCTCCAAGAGGCCCCCAAGAGGCCCCACGAGGAGCCCGAACGACTCACACCAGGACGAGGGGCCCGAACGACTCACACCACGAAGAGCCCGAACGACTCACACCACAAGGAGGGGCCCGAACGACTCACACCAGGACGAGGCGCCCGAACGACTCACACCACGAGGAGCCCGAACGACTCACACCAGGACGAGGGCCCCGAACGACTCACACCACGAGGAGCCCGAACGACTCACACCAGGAGGAGGAGCCCGAACGACTCACACCAGGACGAAGGGCCCGAACAACTCACACCACGAGAAGCCCGAACGACTCACGCCAGGACGAAGAGCCCGAACGACTCAAACCACGACGAAGAGCCCGAACGACTCACACCAGGAAGAAGGGCCCGAACGACTCACACCAGGACGAGAGGCCCGGAGATATGCGGGGGCAGGCGGAAACACGCCTGAAAAACACGACTGTCGGCATGCTTCGCAAGAGTTGCTGTTTTGAGCTGGGCTGGTGGGGATACACGAAGCGTGAAGAATTATCCCCCCCTCTTGGCCGCCCCCGACCTCCTCCCCCTCCGCCTCCTCCTCCTCCTCATCCTCCTCCGCCTCCTCCTCCTCCTCTTCCGCCTCCTCCTCCTCCTCCGCCTCCTCCTCCTCCTCCACCTCCACCCCTCGTCGTCACCCCCCTCTTGGCCGCTCCCGATCCGCCAGCCCCCGCGCCTCTCGCCCCACTCTCCCCCGCGGAAGAGCGCCAGCGACGCCTCTGTCCTGCCTGGCTCTTGCCCGTGCGGCTGCCGCCTCCTGGAGGTGGGATCTATCTTTAGGTCGGGCCTGTCCCCCAAATTACAGGGGGGGTTGTGGCGAAAAAGAAGAATACCCGAAAAATGCCAGAACAAAATCAAAAATGGAAAAAAAAAAAAAAAAAAAAAAAAAAAAAAAAAATGTTGCCACATGTAGGGGAACAGGCCCGACTTAAACCTTGAAAGAATCGAGGAACAACCTGCCGATCCCAAAAACCACATGCCGTCGGAGATCCGGGCTTGTTGCCGGTGCGCCGTCGAGGCACCATGCTTCACCTGCTTTCTTGTTTGCTCGCCGCTCGGGCCCAAAGGTCAGAGCCGAGCGGGATGCGCGAAGCGCCGTCCGCAGGGCCGAGGGGGGACACCTCGGAAGGACCCCTGGCGTCGCAGAGGCGAGAGCCTGCAGGTGGAGGCGAAGGGCTGCCGCAACGCTGGCCCCCCGAACATGGGCTACTGAGGGCCAGCAAGAAGGGGGGGGCCTGGCTCAGGCGGGGGAGGGGAAGTCGACCTGGAATCGGCGACACGTCGCCGATGGATCGGCAACAGGCCCCCCATATCGGACCCGCAAGCTCCTGGGCGGGGTGGGCCTGTCGGGCCGCTTCTCGGCGACGAATCGGCGACTGGGGGCCGATGCACCCCCCCCTGAGCTTACCCCCCCTCCTGCCGCTGCCCCTGACAAACTTCGGTGACGCAGGTCTCTCGGAGGTCTGAAGCTCTGCCCTCGACACTCGCGAGGATCGAAGGGAGAGGCTCGTGGTTTTGGGTATCTGGGGGCCTCCCGAAGTCTCCAGGTCCCCACGCGGACATCCACCTCGTTCGCATATTTGCGCTACCCCGCGCAATCCCCCTCCCCCCCTCACCGATCAAGTGCGACATGCCGTGCGCAATGGCGGGGTTGATGGTGTACTTCGCGACGTACCTCCCCTGCGTTCCCCTGCGAACGTGCGCAGCAATGATATTGAAGAGTAGGAGAACGCGCCCATAAAACTTGCCCTGATTCGGCCTCGACCCGTGCAAATCTAAAGGTTGCAAGGCAAACCGGAAACACCACACGAGCCGACCTCCGATAGGCAAACTTATGCACTGAACCGTGGCCTAAGGAGGAACGAGCGCGCCGCATGCAGGAGTAGAGGAAGATACCAGAAAACAAATGGACCGTTCAATGCTGCTAGATACAATGGAAACGCACGACGATCGCGATGATGCGAGCGTGCAACCTCCAAGCCGCAAAGGTACATCTGCCGCCTACCAGAAGGAACGCAACATAAGGAATTAAGTGGGTTTTCTGGCCACGGCGAACCTCGACCACGAAGAAGTGTGCTGATCCAGATCAAAGGAACGGCCCGAACACAAGAACCTCCTCAGCCCAAAGCGGTTGATACTTCATCGTCTGGACTGCACGTAATACATTATGCGTCGTACCCTCGGGAAAACACGAAACACACATTAACGCAGCAAAAGAACCGGTCCTGTAGAATGGGGTGTCCTGCGAGTGTGGACGAACCGTGAGGAAGGAGCGGCAGGGAGGAGGTCAAATATTCCCCAATCAGAGCTTACCTCTGTAGGGGTCCTAGCGGACTAAAGGCTGAGGTGAGAGGTGCGGCCGATTTCGGTGGCCGGGCCCGGGTGCCCGGGTGCCCGGGTGCCCGGATTCGGTGGCCGGGCCCAGGTGCCCGGATGCCCGGGTGCCCGGGTGCCCAGGTGACGGGTGCCCGGTGCCCGGGTGGGTGCCCGGGTGCCGGGTGCCCGGTGCCCTGTAGCCCTATAGCCTTATAGCCCTACATCCCTATCGCCCTATAGCCTTAGTGTAGCCTTATAGCCATATAGCCCAATAGCCCTATAACCCCAAACAAATTCTGATTGGGGCTTTTCTCCGGTATCATATGGATAGAGGGAGGGGACAAGGGCAGTAGTAGTAGTAGTAGTTGTTGTTGTTGCAGTAGTAACAGTGATCGTAGTAGAAAAAGTAATAGAAATGATAACAATCGTAGTCGTTGCAGTAGTAGAAATCATGGTAATGGTGCGAGTAGAAGTAGGAGTAGTAGTGATAGTAGTAGTAGTAGTAGTAGTAGTAGTAGTAGTAGTAGTAGTAGTAGTAATCGTAGTCGTAGTCGTAGTCGTAGTAGTAGTAGTAGTAGTAGTAGTAGTAGTAGTAGTAGTAGTAGTAGTAGTAGTAGTAGTAATAGTAGTAGTAGTAGTATTAGTAGTAGTAGTAGTAGTGATAGTAGTAGTAGTAGTAATAGTAGTAACAGCGATCGTAGCAATAGTAATAGAAATAATGAATGTAGCAGTGGGGCTTCTAGCAGTAGTTGTAGTAGTAGTGCTAGTAGTGGTAGTAGAAGGAGTAGTCGTAGTACTAGAAGTAGTAGTAGTAGTAGTAGTAGTAGTAGTAGTAGTAGTAGTAGCAGTAGTCATAGTAGTGGTCGTAGTCGCGATGATAGTAACAGTCGTAATTCTAGTCGTAGTAATGGTATTAGTGCTAGTAGTAGTACTAGTAGTAGTAGTAGTAGTAGTAGTAGTAGTAGTAGTAGTAGTAGTAGTAGTAATAGTAGTAGCCGTCGTCGTGGCAGCGGTAGGAGTAGTAGTAGTCGCCGTCGTCCTTGGAGACGAAGCAGTCGCACAAGTAGTAGTAGGCGTAGTAGTAGTAGTAGTAGTAGTAGTAATATTAGTAGAAGTAGCCGTAGTAGTAACAGTAGTAGTAGTAGTACTAGCAGTAGTAGTAGTAGTAGTAGTAGTAGTAGTAGTAGTAGTAGTCGAAATAAGAATACTAGCAATAGTAATAATAATAATCGGCATAGTAGTAGAAGTAGTAGTATTGGTAGTGGTAGTGGTAGGGTGGTAGTAGTAGTAGTAGTAGTAGTAGGAGTAGCAGTAGTAGCAGTAGTAGTAGTAGTAGTAGTAGTAGTAGTAGTAGTAGTAGAGGTAGAAGTAGTAATACGAATGGTAGTTGTAGTACTAGTAGTCGTAGACGTGGTAGTAGTAGTAGTAGTAGTAGTAGTAGTAGTAGTAGCAGTAGCAGTAGCAGTAGCAGTAGCAGTAGTAGTAGTAGTAGCAGTAGTAGTAGTAGTAGTAGTAGTAGTAGTAGTAGTAGTAGTGGTAATAGTACATGTTGTAGTGGTAGTCGTAGTAGTAGTTGTAGGAGTAGTAGTTAAAAGCCGCCGTCGTCGTAGCAATGCCAAAAGTAGACAGAATTGTGAAAGTAATAGTGGTAGTAGTAGTAGTAGTAGCAGTAGTAGTAGTAGTAGTAATAGTAGTAGTAGTAGTAGTAGTAGCGATAGCAAGAATAATGAAACTACAAAAAAAATACTTGTGGTTCGGCAACAGCATTGAATGTCCGTGCCCTCTTCTTCTACGATTCCAGCTGCAATCCACAATGGCAAAAAAAAAAAACTCCCGTGGGCAATAAATCCTGAGGATGGTCCATCCCAAAGTATCGCCCCCTTCGCACGGAGTATTACCCGTGCGCACTGGAGCGCCGAACATAATTAATTCCCGCCCTCCAGAGTGGTAGTATTAACAAGATATGTGTTTGAATAGTAGTGGTCGTAGTAGTAATGGTAGTAGCTGTGGTAGTAGTAGTAATAGAAGTAGAAGCAGAAGCAGAAGCAGTCGCAGTAGTGTAGGAGTGGTAGTAGTAGTAGTAGTAATAGTAGCAGCAGAAGTAGTAGTAGTAGTATCAGTTTTGCGACTACTACTACTACTACTACTACTACTACTACTACTACTACTACTACTACTACTACTACTGCTACTACCCGTAGGAAGCAATCGTAGTAAAAAGAATAAAAGTAGTAGTAGTAGTAGTAGTAGTAGTAGTAGTAGTAGTAGTAGTAGTAGTAGTAGTAGTAGTAGTAGTGGTAGTAGTAGTAGTAGTAGTAGTAGCAGTAGTAGTAGCAGTAGCGATACTACTAATAGTGGCGGTGGTAGCCGTGAAAGAAAGTAGTAGTAGTAGTAGTAATAGTAGCAGCAGAAGTAGTAGTAGTAGTAGTAGTAGTAGTAGTAGTAATCGTTTCACCAGCAAAACCATAGTAGTACTAATAGAAAACTACAAGTAGTAGTACTCGGAGGTGAGGGGGTTGAGATCGAAGTGGAACGGAGAGCCCCCCTACCAGGAAATTGATTTCGGTTTCGTGTTCGTGCGTGCCGTGCGTACGGGCGAGGCGAAGTTGCGTGGGCGGGCGACAGAAAGTCTCCTGTGGCTGAGGCGCGGCCGGACCAAATGTCTCCCTTCCGGGCGGCCGGGGGCCCGCGGTGTCCCGCCGGTGTCCCGCTGGTGTCCCGTGTGGCTGAGGCGCGGCCGGACCAAATGTCTCCCTTCCGGGCGGCCGGGGCCCCGCGGAGTCCCGCCGGTGTCCCGTCGGTGACCCGATGATGATGAGGATGATGATGATGATGATGATGATGATGATGTTGATGTTGATGTTGATGTTGTTGATGATGATGGTGATGATAATGTTGTTTTATTTTGATGATCGATACTGAGATCGATAGTGAGGTCGAATGTGAGATCGGTAGTGAGATCGATCGTGATATCAATTGTGAGATCGAGCGTGAGACCGAATGTCAGATTGATTGCGAGATCGATTGTGAGATCGATAGTGGTATTGGTAGTGAGATCGACTGTGAGACCGAATGGGAGATCGATTGTGAGATCGATTGTGATATCGATAGTGAGATCGACAGTGAGACCGAATATGAGATCGATAGTGGGATATGTTGTGAGATCGTTTGTGAGATCGATCGTCAGATCGATTGTGAGATCGATCGATTGAGATTGATAATGAGATCGATAGTGAGTTCGATGGTGAGACCGAATGTGAGATCGATTGTGATATCGGTTGTGCTATCGATAGTGAGGTAGGTAGTGAGACCGAATGTACGATCGATAATGATATCTAAAGTGAGTTTGATAGTTAGATCGATAGTCAGATCGAATGTGAGATCCATTGTGAGATCGATTGTGAGATCAATAGCGAGACCCAATGTGAGATCGATTGTGAAATCGATTGTGAGATCGATAGTCAGATCGATTGTGAGATCGATCGATTAAGATCGATTGTGACATCGGTAGTGAGTTCGATAGTAACATCGATCGAGTGCGACGTTGGTCCCTTCCCCCCCCCCTCACCTCCTTATCACCCGAAGGGTGGTCGTATAGGTAGTAATAGAAGTACGTACGAGTAGTAGTAGTAGTAGTAGTAGTAGTAGTCGTAATATTAGTAGTAGTAGTGAAACTAGTAGTAGTAGTAGTAGTAGTAGTAGTAGTAGTAGTAGTAGTAGGCGTAGTAGCAGTAATCGTAATACTAGTAATGGTAGTAGCAACAGTAGTAGTAGTAGTAGTACTAGTAGTAGTAGTAGTAGTAGTAGTAGTAGTAGTAGTAGTAGTAGTAGTAGTAGCAGTAGCAGTAGCAGTAGCAGTAGCAGTAGCAGTAGTAGTAGCAATGGTAACAATACTAGCAGCGGTAATTGTAAGAATGGTAGTAGTAATCGCATTAGCCGTAGAAGTAGTCGTAGTATTATTATGAGTAGTAGTAGTAGTAGTAGTAGTAGCGATAGTAATAGAAGTAGTAGTACTAGCATTCGTACTAGTAGTAGAAGTAGTAGTAGTCGTCGTCGCAAGTACACAAGAAGTAAGACTAGCAATAATCGGGGTAAGAATAGCAATCGGAAATACCATGAACAAATAGCAACAACACTAATAGTAATAGTCGTTATTCGTACTAGATGTCGTTGTAAAAGTAATGATATTAAGAATAAACTACTACTGGTTACGTGGCAACGCAATGGTGTGGTAATCGTACTATTAAGGATGCCTCCCGCTCCTCCTCCTCCTCCGTCCTCTTCCCTCCTCATCTTTTCTGACGTTGCGCAGACATAGATCAGATGATCGTTGCGTCTTGTGGCTAGAAAACATGAAAAGACCGCCTTAGGCCTAAGACCAACAAACTACGCCTGGCTGGCGCAGCGGAACATAGAAAGGCGCAAGGGCTAAGCCAAAGAGAGAGTGCGCGCAAGGGCAAAGCATCTACGCCAGCCAGACGGTGAAGTAGAGAAAGAGGACGAAGAGAAAGTACACTAGTCATGTCCATCGACGATGAGCGAAGCCGAATGAAGGAAGAGCGACATACACGTGCAGCAGTAAGCGGCCGGAAAGAAGGCGGCCGTATAACCAAGAGTAGCACTGCACTGCCTGGTAAAACGGGCACTCCCACCCTAGAAGATTGAAAACATCCACCTCTTTAGTCTAGTGTAAAAAAGGAAGCGTACAATGCGAACATCAGTTAAACTTACAGGACATTCTAGGAGTGGGTACAACCAAAAAATAGCGTATCGATGTTGCAAGTGGTAAGGGCTGGCACTATCTGCGCAGGCTTGGCCAGTGGCAAAAAAAATGAAATCCTTGGGCTGATACACGTTTTTTCGGTTCTTCGGGGGGGGACCCTTCACCGTTTCAGTACCCAGGGGGGAGGTCACCGTCACTGTGGCCACCAATGTGGCTCTTCTTACCCCTACGAACGTAGTCCTGCAAGTGTGCTGTGCTATGTAGAAGCGGTAGCAATTCAGGAGGATTGCGGAAAATAACGTCAAGCAAAAATGTGTGGCAGTGGATGGTAACTGCTGTATCTGCTGACGCTACCGTTGCAAGGTTGGCCAGTGAAGGCTGGCCTGTACTTGTTATCTGTTGAAACGCTTAGCGGCTCTGGGTATTAAAAGTCTTGAGGTCATCTCCCTGGTGTCCAAGGGGGCCAGGAAGACTCGCAGCTCCCGAAAATATCTCCCCCCTTACCCATTCCAGCCACCCCCCAATCGCCCACGACACTTCCTGTTGGGCCGGCGCTGCCTGGCCAAGTACAGTGGACTTAGTCGCGTGCTGGGCCGAGGTAAGCTGCGGCGAAGGTAAACACGGCGATGGCGGAGACGCGTTAGTGATTAGGCAGATGGCTGTACGTGCTGATGCCAGCGCTGTAAGGCTGGCCTGTGTGGGCTGGCCTGCGCGTTTGTTATCTATTGAAACGCCTGGCGGCTGTGAAGATTAAAAGTCTTGAGGCCATCTCCGTGGTATCACCTGTGCAGGGGGCCAGGAAAACTTGCAGCTCCAATAATATCTCCCCGCCCCCAACCCATCCCATGTAGAGCATCCCATCCATCAACACGTGTGTCCTCCTCCTTCTCCCCCTCCTCTTTTTCCTCCTCCCCCTCCCTGTTCTCATCCTCCTCCTTGTCCTCCTCCTCCTCCCTGTCCTCCTCCCCCCTGTCCTCATCCTCCTCCTCTTCCTCCTCCTTCTCCTCCGTTTCCTCCTCCTCCTCCTCCTCCTCATCATCATCATCCTCCTCAATCATGCATTCATTCGTTCGTTCATTCATTTCATTCCCACATACCGAGGCGCCAGGGGCACTCGACGGAACAAGCAGAAGAGATACCCTCACTCGTCACTGAAACGAGGGCCATTCGCACGACCCCGCTGCAATAGCAGACGCCTCTCGTGGATCACCGCTTCGAGGCTTCCCTGGTTGAGGCCGAATCGAGCGAGCAACATTTCTGAATTCACCCAGGGGCCCAGATTCCCAAGGAGGGGGCCACGAGGCCCACCAGGCCCTGCGGCGAAGGGGGCCTCCAAGCCCCGATGGACCAGCCCGAATACTGCCTGGATCCACAGAGGAACCGTTCATGAACAGCGCTCGTAAGCTGGCGCGCCAAAGTTACCGTCGCCGCACGATGCGAACAGTTTCGCGTCAAGTTTAGTGTGCCCCCCCAAGCATAGCCTCCACATGCCAAGCAAGCAAAGGCATGATCAGGCTTGGGGGGCAGGCAGCCCAGAGGGGAGAGAGACCTCCGCAGCCTGCAGAGGGTGGCCCTGCAGGGCAACCGAGGCCTGCAGCTCTTCGCACATCCACGCCGAGATCTCTGGCCGACGCACCGATCGGTCCCCAATCGACGGCGGCCTCGGGGCCCTCCTCCTGGCCACTTCCAAACCCCCACCCCCCACCCACGCCCCGCTCCCCGTCCCGAAGCCGAGGAGGAGGGAGAGGGAGGGAGTCGAAGGTCTCCCCCTCCGCCACCAGGACCTCCTGGGTGGCGGCCCATTTGGCAAAACCCTTCGCAACTTCCTGGAATCCATCCAGGGCCTCCGTGCCAGGACCTGGGTCAGGGTGCTTGGCGGCAACTTGGTCTGCATACAGATCAGCAGCCCTGTTCCCAGCCCAGTGAAACTCCGAAATGCTGCCTTCTGTCACCGCACGGAACGGGAGATATTCCTTCAACTTGATCGCCCTCGCTCCAGGCATGGCTCGGTGCACTTCCTCCCAGATGTGGCATCTGGGGTTGACAGCGTGACACGCACCTGAAGGATCGAGCAGACAATCAACTGTTCCCTGGCAATCGATCTGGAAGTTAGCATCTCCTCTGACAGTGCCACGAGTCGCCATCAATATGGTCAGGCCTTATCTATCACGGGCAGCTTGGAACGGACCGAGGTGCCACGGCACAGGACCATGCGCGGCAGCAAGCAGTTGGCCATCATCACTGAGCTGCACAAGGCTCCAACCCGCCCTGCTAGCCAGAGGGCAGGTTGGGTAGATGGCCGAGCCATCCGAAAAAAAGAGCCGGTCATACACCCACACTCAGTTTTCAAGGCCCAGACAATTTCAACTTCCGAGTCCCAAATATGCCGCGGAATCAACTCGATCGGGAACGGAAACAGGGCGCTGGCGGTCTTCTCAAGATCCTGCCCAATGAGCTGCAGCACCGCCGCAGCCTTTAGTAGACCAGGGGAACAAATTTACTTCTTGCCTCTTGCCAATGCGCACATCTAAATCTACGATGCCAGACAGTGCCAGAAGCCATGCCACACAGCTGACAATATTCCACGTCCGCTTTGCCATGTCGAGCCCGCTTGGCCTGACACCACTGCTGTGCAGTGACGGAGCGGAGCGATTCCTTGTGCCTCTCTGTCCAGTCATCTGTGGCTGGTGCCTAGAGAAGCTGGAGCAAAGGCTTCCAAAAGATGGGTCGGACCCCGAGACGCCCATCTTCGAGCCGATTCAAAGCCATCACATCCGACAAACTACTGGCTGCACGAGCAGCCATCCATTGCACCTGCTTGGGTCCAATTAAGCGAAGGTCGATCGGTTCGCCAGTATCAATGGGCAGGGCTGGAAGCAACACTCCAAGGGCTCTTGGTCTGGCTGGGGTCTGCAACATCCCCTTCAAAAGTGCTCTGGGAGACCTACAGGGGAGGCCTACCCAGCCAGACAGCTCTCGCCCAGTGCCCTGTCACCAGTGCATAGTATAACCTCTGGGGGTCCACTAGGCGGCCAACTCGAGCGGTCCCAACAACGAAGCCAATGGAGGCCAAAATCTTCTGCCTATGGCTACTTACAGCAGCTCGCCTCATACCATGCAACTGCTTCGACGAGAGGCCCGAGACGCCGGAGCCCCAGAAGGCCGTCGCTCGAGGTCCAGCTCGCTGTATGCCTCCAACCTTGGCGCCCGAGTTCCTCAGTTTCTGCAGCTTGTAGGACCTGCGAAAGCCTTTCTTCACTCGCTAGGAAGCAGTTGTCATCACTCTCCTGTGGCTGGCGTGCGCATCTGTCCCCGACGACTTGGTAGAGAACTTGCAGGAAAAGAGCAGCCCAACCCAACTGGACCTCCTCCTCCTCCTCCGCCTCGTCCTCCTCTTCCTCCGCCTCACCACTTTCGAGGGTTGCTGGGGGCTCCAGAGGAGCGCTGAACAACGGCCAAGTGCCAGGGTGTCACGATGACGCTTCAATGTGCGTGGTGCGTTATCGTTTCAACGCCAGGGGGGGGTCTGAATCGCTTCCCTCGGTTACGGCAGGCCCGTTCAAACTCGAACGATCGGTGGTTCCTCGATCGCCAGGTTGTTCCATGTTGGCTGATTCTGGGCCAATGGCGGCGTTCAACCTCGAACGCCGGTGCTGGGATCGCCGCCGGGTCGATGCGACACGACCCTGCCGTACTCGGGCGTGGCCCCGAAGAGCAACGTTACCGGGGGGGGCGCCTCGGGGGGGGGGGGAACATCGACCCGGAATCGGCGATGCATCGCCGATAGATCGGCGACAGGCCCCCGATGGCGAATCCGGAGGCTCCTGTGCGGGGTGGGGCTAACGCCGGGAGCGCGCAAACATGGACTATAGCGATCCATAGATTCGGCGCGCGGTCGCCAAATCCATGTGTCGGGGGAGGTGCCCTCCCCAAAATGCGGCCGGCGCCGCCTCGCTCGGCGGCGGGAAGCCGCGACTTCCCATGGAAGCGGGACCCGCCACTGATCCACGCCCCCTTGATCCATGTTTGCGATCACCTGATGTCGGGCCCCCTATCGGCGATCCATGGGCCCCGCTCCTCCTCCTCCTCCTCCTCCTCCTCCTCGCTCCTCCTCCTCGCTCCTCCTCCTCCTCCTCCTCGCTCCTCCTCCTCGCTCCTCCTCCTCCTCCTCCTCCTCCTCCTCCTCCTCCTCCTCCTCCTCCTCCTCCTCCTCCTCCTCCTCCTCCTCCTCCTCCTCCTCCTCCTCCTCCTCCTCCTCCTCCTCCTCTATCGGCGATCCATGGGCGACCAGGGGTCGACGCACCCCCCCTGAGGCCCTGGCCCTCAACCTCGCCCACGAGGCCCCGGCCCCTCCTCTTGATCCTGGTGTTGTCGGAGCCGATGCTGTCCTCTGGCAGCGGGCCGCGCTGATCCTGCGGGCAAGCGGCCACGGGGAGGGGCAGGCAGGGAGGACGATGACAGGGGTGACGTCGACCTCTATCCCAGGCTTCGTGGGGCTCTCGAATGGGCCAGCAAAGTTGGGCCCAACCCTTGGATACACGATGGGGGGGCGCCCATCCTCGATCAGGGGTGCGTCCGAATAGCACCCTGGGGGTGTATCCCAGGGTCTCCCTCCTGTCCTGAGCAGCCTCACTTCTCGTCGCGATGTCGGGGGCTGGGGGAGAAGTCTCGCCTGCGAGAGGAGTACCAGGTGACCGCACATAGCGCCAACGCCTTGGGGAAGCCAAGACGGACTCGTTCCCAGGGTTCCCCTCCTTTCCGCAGCAGCTTCATTCCTCGTCGCAAACTCGGGGGCCGGGGGAGAAAAATCGCCTGCGACAGGAGCACCAGGGTGACCGCATATAGCGCCAACGCCTCGGGGAAGCCAAGACGCGGACTCCTTTCGTGTAATGTCCTGCCTCGGGGGGGGGGCACCCTCGGGCTCTCCACGGCCGCCGAGAGAAACGCGGCCCGGCCAGCCTTCTTCTAATTCGAGCAGGGGGTCGACTACAAAACTGTTCTACCCCGAGACTGCATTCCTCGTCGGATCTACGAGATATCTGCAACAAGTCTACGCGTTTGTCGTAGATTCGATTGGACAAATCCAGTTTGGGCTAAATCAATTCTGCAATCACTGACTCCTACTCGACCAGAATAGCAGAAGGCGGAAAGCCCAGGGCCTCCGAGCAAGAAAACGGACCCCCCATGCCGAAGTCCCCCGACCCTGTCGGCGTGCGACAGGCGCTCTTCCATCCGTCGTCGCCGTCGTCGTCACCCACGCCGTCGCCATCGCCGTCGTCGCCGTCGCCGTCGTCGTCGCCGTCGCCGTCGCCACTACCCCCCTTCCCTGGGCCCTCTCCTCAAGCGCGCCAGCCAAAGCGAAATTGAGCAACGCCGCAGGTGAGTCGAAGGGAAGCCCCGTCCCTTTGATCCCTGCCCCGCGGGGGAGGAGGTCGCGGGGGGTCCAGAGAGGGGTCCCAGATCAGAATACCATCTACCCCGGGGGTCCCCTGCCCCAGAAAAATCCGGACGGGCCAAGAGTCCCCCTAGACGCCTCCGAGACGGTCCAAGAGGGCCCCGAATCGCCGAATTATCCCTCCCACTCTCCGAAGATGGCCTCCAAACGGTCCAAGGCACCTCCAAGACGCCTCCAAGACGCCTCCAAGAGCACTCCGAAGAAGACCCCAAGAGGTAAAAATCACAGAGTCTCACAAGGCACCTCCAAGACACCTTCTCGTCTTCCCGACGCTCCAAGACGGCCCAAGAGGCCTCCAAGTTCGCCCCAAGATAGCCCAAAATGTATCAAAAAGGTCCCGACACGACCAAAGAGGGCCCCCAGACAGCCTTAGAGGCCTCCAAGACGGACGCAGGCACCACCCTGGGTCCCAAGAGGGACCTGGCCAGGCGCGGATGGTGGTGGTGCCTTCCGAAAAGTCCGGGGGCAGCTTTCGGAGGCCTCCCAGATGGACTCCGAGCAGATGGGGTCGGAGAATCGCGCCGCATCGGCGACGTCCGCGATGCATTGCCGACGTCGGCGTGGAGAAAATCGGCGATCCACATCGAACCGCATCGCCGATGCATCGGCGACGTCCGCGATGCATCGCCGACGTCGGCGTGAAGAAAATAGGGATCCACATCGAGCCGCATCGCCGACGCATCGGCGATGCATCGGCGACGTGGCGCGATCCTCCGACCCCATCTGGGAGGCATATTAGGTCGGGCCTGTCCCCCTACAGTGGGATTTGGGATGAAAAAAAAAAATAATAAAAAAAAAAACTAGAAAAATGCCCTAAAGATGCCCCAAAGATGCTCAAAAAATAGTTGGACTATTTTTGAAGATTCCCCCTGCAGAGGGACAGGCCCGACGTAAGCCCAGAGCTTTGCACCCCGGCCCACTCTTGAGAGACGGCGCGCCCCGACGGCGCGCCCCGCATCGGCGGCGAGCGAGCGGGGGAAGCGAGGAGCAGAGGAGGCGGCCTGCTCGGAGGGGCGGCGGGACCTCTCGGAAGCCCGCGCGCCTCCCGGGCAGCGCTCTGCGTCTTCGGGGAAGGCTCCAGAAACTTCGCAGAAGGCCGGGGGACTTCCGAGCCTTCTGGTGAGAAGGCCCGCCCCTTCTCATTCCCCCCCCGGGCTCGCCGCCGACCATCGACTGCACGCCATGGGCAAGAGTGGCCTTTGGTGCGCGGCTTTCTGGGGGCCGCGGAGGGACCAGACCCGAGCGCGAAAGACGCGGCTACCGCATCGCGCTCGGCGATCGGAGGGACCCCGAGGGGCCCGCACCAAAAGGTCGCTCCGGCGAAGGGCCACTCTTACGCATCACTAGCCGAGACCAGAGGCCGACGCCGAGGAGAAGCGCCCGGGCCGACGAGGGCCGTCTGCCGCCGGAGACCCGGGCGCGCAGGCGGCGCAGGCGGAGAGGCGGGGCGCGTCGCGCCTTCATCTTCGCGGCGGTCTGCCACGTGCGCGTGATGACCTGCGGGGAAAGGCTATAAAGGGGGGACCGGCTCCGGGGGCGGAAGCACCGACCTGGACTCGGCGACAGGCGACAGGTGCTCCCGGCTCGAGGGCTCACAGGCCGCACCCCCCAGGTGGGGTGGGCCCCAGGATTCCACGGGCCACCCCCCCGGATGGGATGGTGGGAGAACGCCGACGCCGACGCCGACGCCGACGCCGCCGCGGGCGACGGCGCCGCCTCCGACGACGACGACGACGACGACGACGACGACGACGACGACGACGAAGACGACGACGACGACGAACCACCCCACACCCACAGGGGAAGGGAGGAGGAGTGCACTGGCACCCTCCACTACGCAGTGCCCACAGGGCCACGAGCACAGGGGGGGGGAGCGATCCCATTCGCGAGGCCTTCCCGAGGCTCACTGGGGCATCGATCCCACATGTATTTGGGGCGGGAGGGGGGCGGGACAACCTTGGACCATGCATCGCCGACGGATTGGCGATGGACCCCTGATAGCAAATATCCCCAAGTTTATCGGCGGAAGGGCTACTGTGGGGGCGTTCCCTCAAGAATGCGCCCAGGAGGCTCCAGAGCCCGAAAGATTCTTTGTCCGATGATGGCGGCGATAACACACGTGGCCCAACGCCAACGGAAGTTACACCGGCGTCTGGACCCTGGGTTTCTCATCGAAGGGTTCCCTTATCCAACGCCCTCGCTTCATCGGGCAGCTGGGGGTCGATGCATCCCGCCCCCTGAGCCTAACCCTGAAAGGTCTTTAGACAACCCTCCTTCCAATCACTAGACATTTCTCCGGCGGCCTTATTGAAGGACTGGGGTCCCACCAGTAGGGGCTCTTTCGTTTTGTCTTTCCGCGGCACCCTCCTCCTCCTCGTGTCATTCCTGCGGAGGAGGAGGAGGAGGAGGAGGAGGAGGAGGTTTTGGGACCAGCCCTACTCACCCCCGAGAGAAAGGGGGGGGGCCAAAACTAAAGACCTTCAGAGCCGAGTTATCTCCCCCCTCTCAGCATTGCCCCCGAGGACCTCCCGCGGCGCACGCCGAGCGGCCCCGCCCCCGGCAAGCAGCGGCAGGGTCGCGGGAGAAGGGCGGTGCAGCTACCGCGATGCCGGCCGCGGGTCGTCGAGAGTGCTCCTTCTCGATCGGGGGCGCGCGCCGCGCGGAGGAGCCCTGACTTCGGATCCGCCGCACCTCGGAGGCGACGAGAAGGGGCGAGCAGAGCCCAGGGGCGGGCATGTACACGCACTTCCCTCCGGGAGCCTCGCCGAAGACATGGACCCACGGCGTCCCCGGACACACGTTGTTGCTCTCCCCCGGGCTCTTCGCCCCCAGTCGTCGCCCCCGAGTGACGTGGGCGACCGAAGCGGGGAAGAAACATCCCCGGCCTACTTCTGAAGCTCCGTCGATGCCGATGCCCGGCCTGTTTTGCCGTCGCCGTGTCCGCCCGGCCCGCGCAGAACTCTGGCCGTCCTGCCTTCTCTGAGGCAGACGTGTCCGCCCTGCTTCATCGCGCCGTTCGGGGTGCAGTCGCGCTGCAGCTTCGAGTCGGAGAACCGAACAGAGTGCACCGGGTCTGAAGTCGGGGAAGGCCCTCTCGATCGAAGGGCGCGCGCCAGGCGGAGGAAGGGCCCGCCTCGCCCGGACCCGGGACTGCAACGCGAGCGGCCCAGACCCGGGCCCGCATCGCGCCGTGGAAGCGTGTCTCTCGTCGGCGGCGAGGCAGGGGCAGTCCGCGGCGCAAGGGCGAGTCGGGGCAACCGGGAGGCGAGTGGTCTGGCGTGCAAGAGGAGGGGAAGAAGACGAGGGCGGCCGCGAGAGGGGAGAAGCATCAAGGCGGGAGGCATTTGGCCCTCTCCTGCCCCTCGCGGGGCCCTCCTGACCAGGCCCCGGGGCCGTCGAAAAGCATTTGCTGGGGACGAGAAGCCGGAGCCCGGGAAGGGATCCAGACCTCTGGGGACCCAAGCTCTGAAGGAATCACGTCGGAGGCCCGGGGTGGTGAACCAGAAAAGGAACCCTAACCCTTTGGGGCCTGGGGTGACTAACCACAAAAAAAGTGCCCCTAACCCGTCGGGAGGGGACCTAAGTTTCAAGAAGGCCCAAAACATCACGGATAAGGGGGTCTTTTCTGCAGCTGTACCAAACCCTCAGTGAGGCCACGTCTTCACTCTGTTATTATAGAAGCAGAAAAAAGTCCAGCGCACATTCAAGAAATCCACGCGGAGCGCCAAAACATGTTATGCCTACGCCGTTTTTTCTTCTTCGAACTCGACGCGGAGCGCGCCAGGGGCGGCGCTGGAGGCGCCGCCGGGGGAGGGGGGGCCAGCGCGGATCCAAGAAATCTGCGCAGAGCGCCAACAGTTTATGTTTACGGCGTTTCTTGCTTCTTTCGACCTCAGGGTTAGAGTGTCTTCTATATCCTCGACGACGGGGAGCCAGATCAGCCAGCTTCGCGCGCCGCGCCCCTGCGGTGCGCGACGTGCGATCGCCTCCGCGCCGTCGCGCCCCTCGTCGCCGCACTTCTGGAGAAGGGCGGCCTGCTCTGGCCTGCTTCGCGACGAGCGAAGCGCGATAACCGCTCCGCGCCCCCGCGGGTGACCTGGACGAACGAGGGTGGAGCCGAACTCTATACACCGACGCTTCTTCCGGCCCCGCACTGAGATTCGCACAGGAAGGCGGATCCTGGTGTATGCGGGATGCTGGTGTATAGATTTGTTTTGCTGCTTCCCCGGGGAAAGCGGGGAAAAAAGTATACACCAAACCACCCCGACGCCGTCCCCGACCCTCAAAAAGTCTTGGGATTGAAAAACAATCAGCCACTGGTAATGTATGTGCTCCAGTTTCTGAGTATAATCATCGTGCCACTACAGGCGCGACGAGACGCCGGTCAGTCGTCCTGGGGGCACAGCCCTGCAAGAGCCCGGCGATGGCTCTGGAGCGCCGGAAAAACGAGTGCGCTACCGCTCTTGCTGCCAGCCCTGCTTGCTCAGGCTGATGTGAGCCTGCGAAGGCTCCATGCAGGGGTAGGGCGACAACGACGGCGAGACGACGACGACGCCGACGACGACGAGGAGGGACAGGAAGGGAACACCGAGTATCGAACGCAGGGGCGTCCCTGGCCAAGGCGAGCCTCGGCCACGAGCAAGTTCCACGGCCTGAGCCACAGGAACGGCCGTGAAACCAGAGCCCCTCCTCGGCCCAAAGTGCTCCTCAATTCAGCGTCTTGGCAGTGCATGCGCGCAGCGCACCGCGCGCGCTGCACCGGAGCGCGACCGGAAGCAAGGAGGAACCAGCGGGCCCACATCGGGGGTATTGCCATCGGGGTCCCTGGCCCAAGGGCTCCCCCCCCCAGGATTTCCAAGGAGGCTCACGCGGCCTCCAGAGCACACCTCACGAGGCCCAGAGGGCCGCAAGGACTCCAAAATGGCGCGACAAGCTGGAGACACCTCGAGCCAGGGACACCCTCAGCAACCCCCGAACAGGATATGCCGGGCGCCGCGACTCGTTCCGGCAGTGCTCCTGGAAGCTCTGGGCGCACTCCTGAACCCTCTGGAGCAAGCTGCCCTTGTGCTGCGCAGGGCAGCCTGAAGGATACCTTCCCCTGGGCCCCTCCGCTCCTTCCACCGACCACCACCCTCCGCCCTTCCGCGTCCATCCCTCCATCCCTCCATCCTCCCCGTCCCCCTGACACGCCCCTCCAGGGCGACGTGCCCACGGAGGCGCCCGTCGCCAGAGTCCTCCTCCTCCCTGCGGCCGACCCCCTTCCGCTTCGCCTTCTCCCGAATGGGGCCTCGTTCACGCTCGCGCGCCGCAGCCCCGCTCACGCTCGCCCGACCCGGACTCTCTCCGCGTCCGCGGACACACGAGAATGCCACACACGCGCCCACAAAATTGGGGCGCACTCGCCACAGCAAGCATGCAACAGCCACGGGAGCAGAGCGTGCGGCGTTGACCTCTCTGGGAGAGACACGGTTGTACCTCCGACGGACTGCCGCTGGCGGGGCCGCCGCCCGCTTCCGCTGGCCTCCACCGAGGGCGAGAGAGGTCCAGCCTCAGGTCGGGCCTGTCCTCCCAAGGGCATGCCCGACGTAAGTCTAGCCTTCGACTTCTCGGAGGTGAGGTGCAGTGGAGGCCAGTCCACAAGAAACCATCCACAAGAAACCCGACCCTGAGACCCCAGGACGTCCAGTGACTTCTGGTGTGGGAACGTCACCCTTGGCATCGCAAAACCGTCGAAACCCAAGAGACCCAGGGCACCCTGGAGGCAAGCAGGGTGTTTCGCGGCAAGGGTCTCCACCGGAATCACTTGTGGCTCGCCCCGCGCAGAGAACTACAGGGAGAGAGGGGGACCCTGGAGGCGGCCGGGAGCCGGGGGGGTTCTGAAGTGGATGGGGCCTCAGAGAAGCGATCACGCCGGGGGGGGGGGGGGGCGAGGTCCAAATGCGCTCAACATCTGCCCCCCGACCTCTCCTGGGGCCCATCTGGTGCAACGTGTCACCCCGGAAGCGTCGCTGACGGTCCGGGGGCCCGAGAACGGCCCCCGGAGACCGAAAGAGGGAAGAAACCTTCTCGAGCCCAGAACATCGAACATCTTCCCCCCTATACTTGCTGGGCGGAACCAAGGCTGGGCCACCTCAGACCCCCAGCCGGCTCCAAGGAGAGCTGTCTCTCCCTCTCTATCTATTTGATTGCTGTGTCTTTCTCTCTCTCTCTCTCTCTCTCTCTCTCTCCCTCTCTTTCTCTCCCTGTATCCCTCTCCCCAACTTGCTGCCCTCCTATCCCTGGGAGTTCATGGCCAAGGGCCGCCCCAAGCGCCAGACCTCGCCGATGCGGCCCATGGCCTGCGAGTCCGAGGAGATGATGGAGATGGCCCCCAGGTCGTGGAGTATGTCCTCCGCACCCTTCTACACGCGAGGCTCGAAACCCAGACCCCCTCGCGTCGCGAAAAAAAACACGACGGACATGTTTGTTACTATGTTCGGCCTCTGAGGAGCCTTTGATGGGCCCCGGGACCGTCAACAACAACCGAGGATGGAAAGCTGGCCCACTGGAAGCGGTCCAGACCTCTGGGAGTCTTCTTTCTGTGAGAAAAAACGACGTCGGGGGTCTGGGACTGGAGAAGGCAAAGCCGCGTGCACGAAACAGGGCAAGATGGTCAAATCTCATAATTCGTGTAGGTGCGACGGAAAGGATACAAACTCAGGCAAGCACAGAACATGCTGACAGCGAGAACTGGTGGAAACATTGTTGGTTTGGTCCACCTGGCAGGCTTCCGCCCAGAGGGTGAATGTTAGGGCTGGGGCGGGGGGGGGCATGCAACAAGACAGATGCTCAGGAGCCGCACAGCACCTCACTCCCCATAGGTGGTGAGCACCATCGGGGCCACCCCAGACATCCGACGCCGTGATCTCTCTGAACGTGGCTCCCCAGAGGTCTGGACCCTTGTCCTGGGGCTCGGAGTCTGGACCCCTCCTGGGGCTCCAGAGACTCAGGGCCAATCTTACCTCGAGCAGCGATCCCGGGAGGCCCGCCCTGAGCACAAAGGATCGTCGCACCTCCCCCCATCCGGGCCACCGGCAGGAAACGCATGCACCCTGAGGCCTGAGCTGCCTTTGACGACGCGCAGAGGAAGATGGCGCGGAAGCGGGGGACCGGCGCGAGGGGAGGCCCAACACGGTCCTCTCGAGACGTGGGGCCCCAGAGCCAACACGAAGGCAAGATCGGGACGAAGCCAGGGAGGTCAGGCGGTTCTGAGGGACGTGTCGGGCGCCGCGGCGGCCTCCTCAGAGCGTTCCAGAACGGTCTGCGAGCGTACGGGAAAGCTCGGGCGCGAGTTATCCCGACCCTGTGCCCGATGTATGGTACCTCCCGGCCCCATCCCCCAGGGCCCAGTCTGGCGATGCGACGGCCCTGGCGACTGGACGAACAATTTGGGGCCCAGCTCGGGAATTTATCCTCCTCGCTCCTCCCTTCTCCTCCTCTTCCTCCTCCTCCTCCTCCTCCTCCTCCTCCTCCTCCTCCTCGCTCCTCCATCCTCCCTCCTCGCTCCTCGCTCCTCCTCCTCCACCCTCCTCCTCCTCCTCCTCCTCCTCCTCCTCCTCCTCCTCCTCCTCCTCCTCCTCCTCCTCCCCCTCCTCGCTCCTCCTCCTCCTCTCCTCTCCTCCTCCTCCTCCTCCTCCTCCCCTCCTCCTCCTCCTCCTCCTCCTCCTCCTCCTCCTCTCCTCCTCCTCCTCCTCCTCCTCCTCCTCCTCCCCTCCTCCTCCTCCTCCTCCTCCTCCTCCTCCTCCTCCTCCTCCTCCTCCACCTCCTCCTCCTCCTCCTCCTCCTCCACCTCCTCCTCCTCCTCCTCCTCCTCCTCCTCCTCCTCCTCCTCCTCCTCCTCCTCCTCCTCCTCCTCCTCCTCCTCCTCCTCCTCCTCCTCCTCCTCCTCCTCCTCCTCCTCCTCCTCCTCCTCCTCCTCCTCGCTCCTCAGCGGACACGGACGACCCCCGACGCCATGATTTTTCCCCAACGTCGATCCCCAGAAGTGTCGACCCCGCCCCCGAGCCGTCCCTGTTGACGGCCCAGGGGCCCGGCGAGGGCTCCCCCAGAGGTCGACAATCACACATACGACGCGAGGGGATTTGGGCCCCCAGCCTCCCAGTGTTAGGCCGGGCACGTCCTCCTACAGGTGGCGTTGGGACGAAAATTAAACAGTACTCAAAAGATGCTCAAAAATAATCAGAAGTGGTGGGAAAAATCGTCCCCGGACTACTTCTTGATCATTTCTGAATACGGATTCCTCCTGTAGGGGGGGGGGGGGGGATGCCGCGCTGAAACACCCAGAGCACGGCCTCCGACCCCGCCCCCCGGGCCTCCGCCGCGATGGTCTCGCCGCGGATCCGGGACTCCGCGAAGGCGACGTCCTCGGGGCGGGGGCCGACCCCGGCGAGAGCCGCCCGGCCGGGCGCGGCGGCGCGCGGAGGCCTCGGCCGACGGCAGGCCCTGGCCGGGCGCGGAGCGACGGGGGCCCAGACACCCGGCGCCCCTGAGGGGGACCCTTCGACGGCGGCCTGCCCAGGGAGGCCAAGGAGCAGGGGGCAGGTCAACCCCCGTCCCGGGCTTCGCGGGGGCCTCGAGTGGACCAGGAATGCGGGACCCGACCCTGGGATATTCCCCTCGGGAGCGGCCAAGAGGGGGGTGTCCAAGAGGGGGGGGTGCAAATCATGACCGGCGGCATGTGCGCGGCCCAGCGGGGGGGCCTGGGACGTAATGAAATAAGAAGGGGCGCCATGAAACCTGAGGAAAAATCATGGCCCGCGCCATGAAATCCACCCCCCCCTAGTCATCACCCCCCTCTTTTCCGCTCCCGATCCCCTTCCTATATTTCTATAAGCCCGGGCGGGAGGAAAACCCGTCCCCCCAGAGAGGCTCCCCGACGGGCATCCAGGGAGCGGCCCCGAAGGCCCACGGCCCCTCCTCAGCCGACAGTGGCCCTCACTGCAGCGTCTCGTCTGCAGGAGCAGCCGCAGCTCCCCGGGAAACTGGAGTGCCTCCGGTGCCGAGGCCCCCGAGGCGCAGCCTGCGGGGCGGCCCGTGGCAGCTGCGCGAGAAGGCGCGGCGCTGGGCACGGCGGGGCGGGACTCTGGAGGGCAGGACTCCGGAGGGCGAGAGAGGGTGTTCGCGGGCGGCTCCCGCGGAGCCCTGTGTGGCGAGAGAGGGTGTTCGCGGGCGGCTCCCGCGGAGCCCTGTGTGGCTCCAGGGAGACCAAAGCCTACGGGAGACGAGGGAGACGGAGGAAGAGGAGGGAGGTGGATGCCACGAGTGCCACATGTGAAGTGCCCTGGGGTGCGCCTTTCGCACGTCCCAGGGGTGCCTCAAAACCACATGAGGGCCAAGCACGGCGGACAGAACCCCGAAGTGCGGTGGTTCGCACGTGCCGACGCGAGGTGCCCTTCGTGCCTCACGAAGCTGTCCACGAGACTTCGGTTGATCGCACATTAGTCGAGAACTGGCACAGAACCAACCTGGTGCAAAGACTGGTGTCTCGCCAATTGCCATCCTAGGTCGCAGGAAGGAACTGGCGCGTTGGACGCATAAGACTCTCGAGATAGGCGGCTCGCGTAGAACACCAGGCTGAAGCACCCAAGACGCCACGCTCCAGCTGTCAGACCTGCTGGCCCGAGATCGGGAAGGGTAGGTCTGCAACAGCACTGTAAAGCACTGTGTTCCCTTAGGTTGTGTTGCGGCGTACCGCCGGCCAAAAAAGGAAGGTTGAGGACGAGGAGGCTGAGGATGAGGAGGTTGAGGGAAAGAGGGGGAAAAGCAGCAGCAGGACCAAGAGAACGAGCAAGAACAGGAGGAGGAGGAGCACCTTGCCCGGTCCGTCCCTTCATCACTCTCTCTTCACGCCTTCCCCGCGTGAATCCTCTGCCTTCCCCTGGCAAGAGAGGAGAAAGGCATGAAGAACGGAGCGCAACATGTAAACAAGGGCCGGAGGAGAGGAGGCCAGAGTAGTTAACTGATCACCGCTCGAATCGAGGCACGTGCGGTGGGCATCCTTGGGAGGCTCCGAGGCCGCCTCGATCACATCTTGGGTCCTTGCTGGGTTCCTTGCTGGGGCAGTCCTGGACATATTCTGAAGGCCACCCTGAGCCATCTTGGCCCGCCCTGCGTGACCATTGGAAACGAGACTGAGCAACAAGATACCAGCCTGGAGCTGGATGGGGCTTCAGCGGACTGTCCAAACTGGGCGAGTTTCAGTCTCAGGGGCGTTAGGACGGTAGGACGGCCACGTCTGATCAGAGAGCGCACAAGGCACCGAGCAAACAAATCTCCACTGTCTGGTCTAAGGTATTCTACACAGGAGCGGGCAAGGATGGAACGGAGAGAAGGGTTGGTGAGGCTCCGCGCAGCTGGCCTCCATTGGCCCCCCCTGTCGCCGCCGGGAAGGTCTCAGCACCCTGGCGATGCCTCCGAAGGAGACACTGGGGCGTTCCGCGCCCCAGGGTGCAGGTGCTGAGACCGCCACAGACGCAGTCCGAAGCCTTACCAAGAATGACAGACTCGGCGAGACCAGCCTCCGGGATGTTCTTGCTGAGGTGGTGGCAGACCATCAGCATGTCCAAATGCTCGTCGATCGTGTTCACGGTGAACGGCCGGGTCCTCAGCGCGCCCCGCACCCCGCGCACGCCGCTGGCGACTCTTGCCTTGCCCTTCTGCGCCCTGCTCCCGTCGTTACGTGTAGATGCTTATACAGATATACAGGTAGCTAAATATGAATGCATAGACATGTGCACGTATATCTCTGTAGCATTCCCCCAAAAGTGCTTACACTGAGATGTTCTTGCTTCATTTCTACGGGACTGCGCTGGTGAGCCGCTCTGGTGGCTGTGTTGCCGCCGTCGCCGCCCCATCGCCGCCTCGTCGCCGCCCGTCGTCTGGGCCGATGTGCCGCTCTGGCGGTTATGTGGCCGCCGTCGCCGCCCCGTCGCGGCCTCGTCGCCGCCCCGTCGCCGCCTGGAGCACCACATTAATTACAGCAAGACGATTGCACCACATAGGTTGCACCACAGCAACTGCACCGCATGTGTTGCACCACACGTATTGCACTACACCCATTGCACAACATGAACTGCACCACATCTATTGCACCACATATGTCGCATCACATAGATTACACTACATAGATTGTGCTGCATGTATTGCGCAAAACAGCTTGCACAATATATATATATATATACATTGTGCAACAGAAAATGTTCAACATCGAATGCACCCCGTAGATTTAACCACGTATATTGCACGACTTATACTGCTCCTCGTAAATTGCGTCACATAGGTTTCCCCACATATATTCCACCACATAGATTGTACAAAATATGCTGCACAACATAGGTTGCAAAGCGCAGGTTGCACCACGTAGGTTACGCAACGTTGGCTACACAATAGATGTTGCACAACACTGGTTGCACATCGCATATTGCACCACATAGACTGCACCATGTACATTGCACAACATATTATAGTATGTTGCACTGTGCAGATAGCGCACAGCGTACACATTGTTTGCAGCACCTATACTGCACAACATATATTGCACAGCACACATTGCGCCTCATACATTGCACCACATGGACTGCACCACATAGACTGCACCACGTAGATTGGTCCACATAGATCGTTCCACATATATTGCAAATCGTAGATTGCACAACATAGCTTGTACAACATAGAAAGCACCACATACATGGCTTGCAACACACTGTTTGGGGTCCGCGCAGACTAACATCAAGTGTTTCTATGCGTCTGGATTACCTGGACCCCCACCCCCAAACTGGCCCTCCCCCACTGAATCCCTTTCCCAGAAAGCCCCCTGGACGCCCGTGCACAGGGATACCCTGGCCTTGCTGGGCCTCCTGGACATCCCTCCCGGGCCTAGTCAGAAACTGTTCCTGCCATACGCGTAAGGGACGAATGCTTCCAGCTGGCTGAGCAGTTGCCCGCCTTCAGGATAGCGGCAAGCCGTACGCGGCTCTATACGCCCCAGATGGGGTCACCGTTCCGCAGACGTCCTCAGCAGCCGAATGGATCGCCCTGTGTGTTGCTGCTGTGAGAGTGGGATTAGGGAACGGGAGCTCGTCACGGTCTTCACACGGACCCGTGCCTCCGTGCTTAGCCTCAGTGGCCCTGCCTGCGTCGCGCTGGACAGGAAGCCGCGCTACGCAGGCCTGTGGAAGGAGACCTCAGGAGGCCCAGTGTCGATCACGAAGTGTCTCGCCAGCAAGTGAAGAGACCACAACTTTGTACTCTGCGTGCGCTGGCACGGATGAGCAATTTCGAGCTGCTGGGAATTCCCACGCCGACAGCTCGGCCAAGGAGGGGGCCCAAATGCACTAACGACCTGGCCACCGCGGAGGTGGACGATTTTGAACGTACAGCCGATCTGTTTGCGCTTGCCAGGGTAGGGTTCCTGTATTACGGCCCTCGAGGGCAACCACGACCGGGGGGGGGGGGGAGGAGGCCAAGTGCGACGAGGGACCCTCCTCCTCCTCCTCCACCGCCTCCTCCTCCTGTTCTTCCTGCTTTTCCTCGTCGTCATCGTTATCGTCCTCACTCTATTCCCCCCTCCTCCTCCTCCTCCTCCTCCTCCTCCTCCTCCTCCTACTCCTCCTCCTCCTCCCCCTCACTCGTCCGCTCGTCCGCGGGCCAAGGCATCCCGCGAGACCTTTTTTCGACCCGACTGCGCCCCCGCTGCTGGCGCGCATGGCTGTTACCCTGCAGAGACCGTGCACAGACCCTCCACCGCGTCCTCATCATCCTCCTCCTCCTCCTCTTCCTCCTCGTCCTCCTCCTCCTCCTTCTCCTCCTCCTCCTCCTCCTCCTCCTCCTCCTCCTCCTCCCCCATCCCTTCTCCCTGTAAGCGCCGCATCCCTGTCACACACCCACGACGTGTTGGTAGGACGGGGCGGGCATTTCGCCTGAGACATCCTGACAGGTTGCTAGTGACACTGAAGCTAAACTTCTGTAACAGTTTTGAGAATGGAGGGCGGGTGGTATTCTCGCCGTATCACCGCACACATGCGTTTTAATGAGCCTGGCGGAGGGCTCGACCACATTATGCAGCTGCGAGCATCGCGAGGCAGGCGAGAAGAAGGATGGGGGGCGGGGAGGGCGACATAGGCGGGAGGACGGATGTGGTTCCTGCCGCTGTGGCATGCGGTGGAGCTCCCTGCTGGGCCGCGAAGCGCGTGAGGGGCGTGACAGCATGGGCCTGGCGACGCAGGTGGTTCCTGGAACCGCGGCCTTCGGTGGAGCTCCGCATGGGGCTACGAAACATGCGAGGCGCGCGCCAGAATTGGCGCGGGGGGGGGGGGGCATGCGATTCCTGCCACTGCGGCCTTCTGTGGAACTCCATACGGGGCCGCGGACAGGTGTGAGGGGCGTGCCAAAATGGGCGGGTGGGGAGGGCGCATGTGTGTTCTGCCACTGCGGCCTTCCGTGGGACCCCCCATGGGGCCGCCAGGCAGTGTGTGGGGGGGGGGGGGGGGGGCATGTGAGTCCTGCCACTGCGGCCTTTGGCAGGGCACCCTAGGGGGACTCGACACGTGTGGGGACGTGTCAAAATTGGCGGGGGTGCGCATGTGAACCCTGCCACTGCGGCCTTCTGCAGGGCTCCATATGCGGCCACGAAGCGTGTGAGGGGCGAGCCAACATGGGCGGGGGGGGCATGTGATTCCTGCCACTGCGGCCTTAGGAGGAGCTCCCCATGGGGCCGAGACACATGCGAGGTGCGTGCCAGAATTGGGCGGGGGGGGGCGCATGTGGTTCCTGCCACTGCGGCCGTCGGCGGAGCTCCCTATGCGGCCGCGAAGTGTGTGAGGAGTGTGCTAAACAATAGGCGGGGGGCGCATGTGATTCCTGCCAAAATGCGGCCTTCGGTAGAGCCCCCTATGCGGCCACGAAGTGCGTGGAAGGTGGATGACGATGAGGACATGCTGACGGCAGAAGCGGGAGGAAGGGTAGGATGAAGGAGGAGTGAACGCGGGGGCGCCGCAGATTCAAAACAAGGGCCCAGCACCACAGGATGGCTGAGACAGCCTGCAACCGTTGCAAGGATGGAGGGCGGGCTCTGTTCAAAATATGGCCCTCGCCGTATCGCCGCGCACACTCAAACGGGTTCAAGGATGGAGGGCGGGACGTGTGCAAACTTGCGGCTCTCGACTCAGCGCCGCGCACATTCGTCTTACGAACTTGCAATAGTTACGGAGATGGAGCGCGGTTCTTGTTCAACACGCGGCTCTCGCGTTAGCGACGAGCACATTAGTCTTAACATGTAGCAGCCCGTTTAAATATTCGTATAGTGTAAGTCCCAGGAATGGTGTTCTGGCATGGCTTAGGGTTGCCAGGGAGCGGCAGGTACGTTGATTCGCGGTGTTTGAACTCAGGACTGTCAGGACGCAATAGTCACGCTGACTCGCGGCATTGAAGTTCTGGCCAGGTCAGGGATTATCAGACGGTTGTCTTTCAATGGAGCACTCCCCACAAGGGTAATCATGTCTTGCAGGGACCTGTGAAGAGGGAACTTGGAGGGAGGGTGGATCGCAACATCGTCGGCGCATCTTGGCTTTGCACTGGTCCGCCTCCTTCTCCAACGAGCACTAGCTGGACGACAAGGGCCAGACGTACACGGGGTGCCACAACTTGTGCACCAAGGCGGGGCGCTCCCATGTCCTGCTCACTACGTGCCACCCCCTCGTGCCACCTCCTCGTGCCAGGTACAGAGGATTTCCTTCAGCCTCCCATCTCGGGGGAGGGTGGGCTCACAGTCAGCATGTCATGAGGTATCACAGTAAGGCTGGTGTGTGGATCCGCACGGCGTGCGGGAACTTTGGGCAGCACCAATTGAGAGCCCTCAGTCAGCCGTGCGACCCCACCACCATCAATAATAAAAGAAGGGAATACCTGAACCGTGTAGAGCGAGGTTTAGCTCCCAAGTAGGCCAGTTAATATTGCTTCGAAATCGTTTCGAATCCGAATCCGAAACCGAATCCTCTCCCTCCTCCTTCTCCTCCTCCTCCTACTCCTCCTCCTCCTCCTCCTCCTCCTCCTCCTCCTCCACCTCCTCCTCCTCCTCCTCCTCCTCCACCTCCCGCTCCCAAAAACGAAAGGAGGAGGTGCCCCGCGTCGGGCGCGAGAGCCCGCAGCGGCCGAGGCCGGGGCGGGTTGGTGGAGGACGGCAGGACGTTCGGCAGGCCGCACACCTTGATGATGTCGGGCGCGTGCCCGCCTCACCCCCCCAGGAGGAGTCGGATGAGAAAGAGGAGAAGGAGGGAGAGGAAGAGGAGGGGGAGGAGGAGGAGGAGGAGGAGGAGGAGGGGGAGGAGGAGGAGGAGGAGGAGGAGGAGGAGGAGGAGGGGGAGGAGGGGAGGAGGAGGAGGGGGGGGAGGAGGAGGGGAGAGGAGGAGGAGGAGGGAGGAGGAGGAGAAGAAGGAAGAGGAGGAGGAGGAGAGGAGGAGGAGGAGCAAGAGGAGGAGAAGGAGAGGAGGAGGAGGAGGAGGAGAGGAGGAGGAGAGAAGAGAGGAGGAGGAGAGGAGAGAGGAGGAGGAGGAGGGGGAGGAGGGGCTAGAGCCAGGGGAGGGAGGATGAGGCAGGAAGGGGGGGGGACAAGGACGAGGGGAAAAACGAGGACGAAGGCCAGAGGGGGAGAGGAAAGGAGGAGGAGGAGGACTGTGGGGCGGGGACGAGGAGGAGGGGCGCGAGGAGAAGCAGGAGGCGGCGTGGATGCCTCCTTGTCCCGACGTCCCGAGAGCGGCCAGGGAGCCGCCAGGCCTACGAGCGCCGCCTGCACACGCGTGCCTGCTGGCCACCCTACGACGGAGCCAGGACCAGAGCAGACACGGGCCAGGAGGACTGCACGAGTGGGCGCTGCTCCACGAAGGAGCGCGGGGAGGCAACAGGCCCAGTCCCCCTCGCGCCATGGCAGAGCCACGATGGATCAGACTGCGTTTCACCATCCTCGGCCGCCGGGGACCCTGGCAGGGCCTCGAGAACAGTCAAGAAACGACGCAGGCTGAATATGGTAGGTTCGTGCGGCGTCGGCGCGCGCAAAGGTTCTTGACACCACATCGATCGTTCAACCTTGAATCGATCGCGACCCCGATCGTTCAAGGTTGAATTCCGTCGGGCCCAATGGCGTTATCGTGTCCCTCGGTGCTTCCGCGTCACAGAATTCAACCTTGAACGCCTGCGCCGGCGTCGCCGGCGCGCCAACGCCGCGCGAACCTACCGTACTGCCAGTCCCCAGGAGGGGGTCCAGACGTCTGGTCCGGGAGGACGTGCCGCGCGCCGCGGCCGCTCCAGAGAGCGCTCCAGAACGCCCCGAGAGAGCGTTCCAGGACGCTCTGGAAGGATGCCTCTAAAGGGGCCCAGGGACACACAAATAAATAGACACTAATAACAGGATCCCCCATTTTGTCATATATTTTCTGTGTTTTCGTCTTCCCCCCCACTCCCCATATTTTCCTATATTTCCCTGGGAGTCGACGATTAGTTGTGTCTGCATGTTTCTCTCCCTCCTGAGCATTTGTTTCACAGCCCCGCCCCAGATGTCCCTAGAACAGGCTCGTCCAGTGTTGGCCGTTTCCCCCTTGACGCCGTGTCGGGACCACCCGAAGAGGAGAAGGAAGGAAGAAGAGGAGGAGGAGCGAGCGATCCAGGAAGCGGTAAGTTGACGTCCTTCAACCAGTGAAAGGCACTGCACTGCAGCTCTCACGCTACAGCACGATCGGACACCCTACCGCAAGATAAACGTGGTTGTCCGCCACCGTGCCTGTGGGCACGGAATGGGCGTGTCCCCAGGTCCCGTGCCTCATACCCTGAGCCTCAGTCCTCGATCCTGGAGGTTCTGAACGGGCCCGCCCCCCAAACTTGCAAGATCTTCTTGGGCTTGCCGCGTGCCCCCGGGTGCTCCTCGCGGCGTGTCGCGTGACGTCGTCGGGCCCAGGAGGGCCCCACAATCGGGCCAAGAGGGCCCCGTGAGGCCCCTGAGACGGTCCGAGGAGGCCCCGAGACACCCCAAGACCGCACCAAGGCGCCCAAGATGCCCCAAGAAGGCGGCCCACGAGCCCTCGGAGACGCCCCAAGGGAGTCCCAAGAGCCTTCCCAAGAGGGCCCCGCCGAGCTCCCGACGCTCCAAGACGGCCCAAGAAGCTTCCAGGATCGCCCCAAGAGGCCCCCAGGAAAGCCACAACACGGCCCGAGAGGGCCCAGAGACAGCCCCAAGAAGGGTCCAAGAGGGGAGCACGAACCGAGAATCCGCGTCTTCCGCCCCCCAGGAGTCCCGAAGGAGGCCCCAAGGAGCCCCTCAAGAAAGAGGCACGAAGAGACCCCCCAATGGCCCCGAAGACGCCCCAAGAAGCCCCAAAACGGCCCCCAAGAGGCTTCAAAACGGCTCCCAAGTGGCCCCCAAGAGGCCTCCCACGACGTCCCAACGAACATCCTCGAGGCGTGTGACCCACAACCCAGGCACGGTGGCGGGATGGGACGAAAGTTGTTAGATAGACCCCATCAACGTTAAACTTCGCTGGGCGCCCCAGAATCCCAGTTGACCCCCAAGGAGACATAATTACTGTCGGCACTCCGGCTGGCAAGCCCGATACTTGTGCGATGCACATGCTGCACTGCTCCCCCCCTCACTGCCTCCCTTATGGCAAGTTCCTGCCTCCTCCCCCTCCAGCTGATCCACGGCGTCCTCCGCCTCCAACTCCTGCTCCTCCTGCTTGTGGTCGTTGTCGTCGTCGTCGTCTTCAGGGTCAGCGGCGCCCGCCGTTAGGCCTTCACAATATCATCGGCACCCCTGCTGGCCCCCTCGCGGCCTTCCTTTTGACAAGTTCCTGCTTTGACCGACGCAGGCCCTGCTCTGGTATGGAGTGGGGCAGGCTTCGCTCGTCAGTGTACCGAGTGACAGGATTGGCAAGTGCGCACTCTCTTGACCCGATCGGCAGAACGGGAGTCCGAAGCTGCACGGGCAACGCGGAAGGAGCGAAGCGCGCGGGGGAACGTTTTCTTATTCGGCTTTTCGACATTGGGCCGAAGGGGGGGGGAGAGGGGGGCCTGGCTCCAAACCCCTGCTTCATGCGACTGTTTGCCACAGTGCGTCCTGTGGGGGGAGACCCACCTGCTTGAAAACAGGCGCCCAAAACAGCCAAGACCTGCTCCGTGGGGCGGGGGGGAAGGGGGGTGGAGGGCGAGGGCCCGCAACGAGCCACCCCATGGCTCAACCTGGGCTGCCCGCGCCAGCGTCGCCGGCGCGCCGAGGCGGCGCGAGCCGGCCGCGGCTGCCTCCCACACCAAAGGTCTGCTGGCCACCCTAAAGGCCAGGGGGTGGCCCAGCAACAGCTAGACTTAAGTCGGGCGTGTCCCCCTACCTGGCTATTTTCGACGAAACATGACAAATACACCAACAATTTTCAAAACATGTCAAACAAATACTCCAAAAAAAGTCCCCTGACTATTCTATGTTTGAATATTCCTCCTGTAGAGGGACGGGCCCCGCAACAGCCAGACCGCCACAGGCCGGGGACGGTCCAGCTCGTTCAGAGGCAGCTGGTTGTGACCGTCGCGGGGCTTCTGGATGTGCTGCTCCCTTGCCCCCTCGGCCCTTCAGGATGACCAAAGGATCATGGCCCTCCACACCTCCTCGCCGCCCCCCCCCCACCCTCGGGCGTTACTTCCAGAAACAGATCGAACAACAAAAAAAAAAATGGCAAGGTGCACCTCTCGTGCACCTTCTGGGCCCCAAGAAGGCCCCCTCGGGGCCACTTCTTTTCCGGTCGGATGCTTTGCTTAGCTCGTCGCGGCGGCGGCACGCTGTGCCGTGCGAGCTGCTGCCGTGTCGCTCCGCTCCCCGGGGGCGGGAGGCTGCGGGAAGGGCCCGGGCCTTTCACAACCCACGACTGTGGCGCAGTCGGCGGGTCGCGCCCGAGGCGCGGTGGGCCAGACACGGCGGCTCGACGCGCGGAGCAATCGAGGCGCTCCCGACCGCTGGGCCCCTCCCAGCAGCCCGCGAGGGCCCCCCCGCCGATCGCCCCCCCCCCCCCCCCCCCCCCACTGCGAGACGCCAGCCTCGCCGCCGCCCCCCCCAACCCCACACACGCCAGGCCTCCGGCGCCCTCGGAGTGGTACGTGTGGATCGTGCGGCCCTTCATCGCGGCGATGGAGTCGTCGATGAACCCCGACTCGTTGATGGTGTCCGTGTGGATCGTGATCGCGACCTCGGCGGGGCGGCGCCCGCTCCCGCGCCCGCGCCTGCGTGCGCGGGCGCCCCGCGTGCCTCCCTCGCGGGAAGGGGGGGGGGCGGGGAGGCCCCCCCCCCCCCCGGCGGGCGGCGGGGCCAGCGACAGCGGCAGGGGCGCGGCGAGGCGGAGGGGCGAGGAGCGCCCCTCCCCGAAGAGAGCACCCAGAGAAAACCGAGGACCAGAGAGGGGTCTTACGCGAGATGGCACAGGCGACCTTACGCGGTGGCTTGCGCGGGCCCGCCAGCGCGGCGCGATACGCTGGAGACGAGGGCGCTTGCGCGCGACCTTATGCGGCCAGCTTACGCGCGAATGTCAGCGCAGACGACTCCGTTATCTTACGTCGCTCATGTGCCCCCCGTGGAGGCGTGCGTCCACCCCGAAGATGTAGCACGACCATCTCATGGTATGTCGTTTCCCGAACGGCACGGCCAGAAAAGCGCCCGCCACGCAGCAGATGCCACAAGCCTTCCCCGCGCGCGCGTCGCCCCCATGGATGGGAGCGACGCGCACGCAGTGTCGGCGCGGTCGTCCTGAAAATTGTCTTTGTGATTTCTGCTCGTCTTCGATGAGTTGAGCCCGCGAACGCAGCCATCGCCCGTGCAGCCTCACCTCGGCGCTACCCCCATGGATCGGGCGTGACGCCGAGGTTCGGCGGCGACGACAGGGGCGAATAGCCCAGGCGCGGGCACGACACGCATTCGCCCGGGAGCCTCTTCGAAGACGTCGATCACCGGCGCACCTGAATACATGGCTTGCTCTCCCCTGGGCCATTCGCCCCGATCGTCGCCTCTGAGAGGTGAGCTATTCGCCTCTATCGTCCCCTGGGCTCTTCGCCCCTATCGTCCCCCTGGGCTATTCGCCCCTATCGTCTCCCCTGGGCTATTCTCCCCTGGGCGGATGGGGCGATGGGCGCCCCACCCGCCCCCTCCCCGGCGGCCCGCAGCACGCGGGGCGGACGGCCCAGGGCAGTGGGCGCCCGGGGCGCGCGGCCCGCGCCGCCTCGGGGCGCCAGAGCGCGGGCGGTGCCGCAGGCCCCGCGCCGCTCCCCCCCGCCCGCCCCCGCCCTCCCCCCCCCCGCGGGGCCTCGAGTCGGCGGCGAGCGGGGGGGGGGGGGGAAGCGAGGAGGAGAAGGCCTTCTCAGAAGGCGGCGGGGCTTCTCGGAGGCCCTCGCGCCTCCTGAGAAGTCTTTGTCTGTCTTCGGGGGAGGCTCCCAAAACTTCTCAGAAGGCCCAGGGACTTCCGAGCCTTCTGAGAAGGCCCGCCCCTTCTCACTTCCCCCCTGGGCGCGCCGCCGATCAAGGGGAGGACGAGGAGGAGGACGGGGGAGAACGAGGAGGAGGGGAGCAGACCGCAGCCGCGCCGCGCGAGCGACGTCGCGCCCTCGCGGGAGCCCATGCACCAGGGGAGGGGGACAAGTATCTCACACGTGCTCGGGAGCTCCGATCGCGCCCGCGTCTCCGGCGAAGCTCGCCCAGCGTGGGCGCGCGTGGTGGATGCCCGCCCCTGGGCTGTCCACCAATTTGGCCTCCGCCGAAATCCCCCCCCACCCCGTCTCGCGGGCGGAAGGCATGCCCGTATCCGCGACGTCTCGGACCAGGCCACGGGCGCGACCCCGCGGACAAACACAGGGCGTTGCTCCGCAGATGCCCCGCGCAGAGCGGATCCCCAGACGTCCGATGTCCTGATCTTTTGCACCACGCGGTCTCCGGAAATTCAGACCTGTGAGGCCAATTTTTCGAAGGATTGCAATGCTTCGGTTTTTTGCAATCCTTGGTTTTTTGCAATCCTTGGTTTTTTGCAATCCCTGGTTTTTTGCAATCCTTCGTACACCACCACCGCCCGCAATAACAGCCAATCGCAACAATAGTCTGGGGCAGGGTCGTGCCAGACGACCCCGCGACCCCGCGGCGGAGAGGAGCGCGGCGCGGCGCGCGGGCGCCGTGGCAGGGGAGCTCCTGACGCATAAGCAGCACTTTTTGGTGGTGGTGGTGTGTAAAAAAATCCCTCCTTTTTGTAACCCCAAGATCGCTCCGTTTTGGTGAATTCTGTCTCGGTCCTTACAGCGAGGGGGCAGCCCGATTGCCGCTGGCGGCGGGAGGGGAGATGCGAAGCTCCCACCAGAGCAAAACTGCACCACATGGGATCGTGCATTTTTCCCGCTCCTGGCGGTGGTGGTCACAGATTGCTTCCCTGGGGCCGTCTTTTCCTCATCTGGCCCGGCCTGGGGGGCCCAGAGGCAGAAACCGACGAAACATCAACGCCCTCAGTCTTCAACACGTCGGAGGTCAGGGGCCCATCCAACCGCGCATCCACAGGGTCGCGCCCCCGAGTCCAGACGGCGAGGGCGCGGATCTGGACAGTGCGACTCCGAGACTGCTATGTAACGAAACTCTTCAGAGCCAAGACAAAAACATGCTTCAGCGGCCCAGAATCGCCGCAACCGCGTCTCTCGGCATCACGCGGATCATAGCAGGCAACACACACCGAAACGCCAGCAGGGGGGTCGCAATGCCGCAAGGGAGAATTCGCCGGCCCAACGGGCCAGAGGCGTGCTAAGATCTCCGGTAACTTGTTAACAATATTTCTAGTTCGCGCGCGCGGAGCGGCCCCTGGGGGCCCCCGGACGAAAAGTACCCCGGCAAGGTCCCGAGAGAAGCCCGGGAGAAGCCCCCAGAGCACTCCAGGGGAGGGCCATTTTTCGACACCCCTCACGAGGATCGTGGCCTCCGAGGGGGGAGCCGCAATCGACTACCCCCAAGAGCCCCCCAAGAGGCCCTGGGGGCCTCCAAAACGCCGCCAAGGAGCCCCAAGAGACTCCCAAGAGGTCCCCAAGAGGCCCCCAAGAGGCCCTAAAGAGGGCTCCAGGGCCGGCGGCATGAGCGAAGCGATTAAATAACACATCTTTTGCCGCCGGGTGCGCTGCTCCCCTCCTCTGAGAGAGAACATGGAGGGAGGCTCCTCCCTTTACTGTCGGCGTTGGAAGAATGGCATGCAAACGGCTATCTCCGAAAGGCACGCTGTCCCTGCGAGGCGATGTTTGGGCGGCGGGGGTGCCCGAAGCGCCGAGAATAGGATCGCAACTGGTGGCACAAAGAAAAACAACTCAATTGCTGTTCCAGTCGCGTTCGTGATTTTTTGCCGGTCGCCACTGACGGCGAGTGCTGGCAACGGCTGATCGGGAGCTTGATCGAAGTGATCCTTCAATTGCCTGCGAGGTCAATACAAGACATGCCCTTCGACAGCGGCGGACGCTGCGTTCAAATACCAGCGTGGAGATGCCAGCGTGGAGGTGCAAACGTAGATGGCAGCTGCGACGCCAACGTAGAAGTCAACGTCGATGCCAACGTAGGGGCACCAACGAAGCAGCCAACGTAGATGCCAACGCAGTCGCAGTCGCAACTGCAGACCATGCTCAATCCGAGTCCGAATCCGACTGAAGCAGGCTGTCTTCAATCGTCAAGGTGAACTGACCTTCGCGTTGCTAGTGTCGCTGACGGAAACCGGGAGATCGCTCTCTTGCATGGCCTCGAAGCTGCCCATGACAAATCCTTTCGGTGTCGTTCTGCAGAGACGCAAAAATCAACGTGCGGGTCCTCTTGCGCTGCAGGATGTCAGGCCACTCAGCCGCGGGCTTAGCAGCGCGCGCTCCTACGAGTTGCGCCTCATCGCGGCGGGCGGGCCCCATCGGCAGCGCTGTCGCCCTCGCGGGGATTGGGCTCGCGCCTGTCGCTGGCGATGGGCCCATCAGCCCGCTGCTCAGGCGAGATGGGCTGCGCCGCTGGCAGCGCTCGCCCGCTGTCGGACGCCGAGTCGTGGATGGCTGGCGAATCGAGCGCCTGCTCGGTCGCCATGCGCGACAGTTGCAAGCTGTCATGAGCGATGCCCAGACCTCGGCCTCGGAAATGCGCCCTGCGCTGAGCCAAGGCGGCCACCCATGTGGACGAAGCGAGGCGCATCCCGGCCATATTCTCACGGGGAAACGCTTATGCTTGCACGCATCACCCAGGTCACCAAACAGTTCGGCGACGGGGGAGGGGGCGCATGATGGCCATGGCAGCGGAGAGGCCGTAGCCAATTGCAGTTGGAAACATTCGCAGGGCTCGGCGATCATCGCCACGACTACTACAACTTAGTCAAGCAATGGCAGAATTGGGTATAGCATAGTAGGGGTTGAACTGAGGGGCGCAGAGAAGTGCCGAGTGGATTAGGGATTAGGACCACTCTGCGTAGGATCGGGTTAGGCAAGTAGGGTTTCAAGTTGCAGAAATGCTGATAGCACTGAGTGCTGCAATGATACATTGATGTGTGTTCTTGTGGAGAGCCGCCTTTCCTCGACCCTGGTGAGGTTTCCATGGGGCGGTCGCCACAATGGCTTCATCACGATGCCAGCAAAACACGCGGTGCTTCTACCGCCCTGTTTGGCGTCGGAGGTTGCGCGCCCATTGCCCCTGCAATCAAACGCCAACCAGATAAGCTACAAGATGCGCCCCATCATAAATAAACCGTGAGCTGCGCCCCGCTCTATAACACATAGGCTTCGCCCGCTCGCTTCGCACTGTCGATCGCCTTCACAACTGCAGCCCACGCCTCCTTGGTGGGCTTCTCCGCACCCCATGCCTTCGATTTCTCGGTGTGCGTGTCACTACGGTTCACCAAACCTCTGAACCACTAGACAGCGACGGACGCGTATATGATGCCTTTCTTGTGCGCGACGGGTTGTGCGCCACGGGGGTGGGGGGGGAGACATCCTTCGGCAACGTGAACATCGCCGACATGATCTTGCCTATCGGTGCAGGCTTTAGCTCACTGCCCTCGGCCTGTTTCAGCTTTCTTGCCCGCGTTGGCCGTCTTGGGTCTCTTCGCGGCGGGCGCGGCGTCGCTGTCGGCGCACCCGTCGGCGCCGTCTGCAGCAGCAGGGCAATCATCAGCATGCCGCTCCTCCTTGGCATCAGCCTCTTGAGTTTCCCCCTCCGCTT